CCGTGGGTCCCACCCGTGTGGTGCGGGCGGTGCTGGGGGTCGGTGGTGCTTTGGGACACGTGGTGGGGTGGAGGTGGGTCCCGTCCCACCCGTGGGGTGCGAGTGACCGTGAGACCCCATCACGGGACATGAGACCCCATCCTGGGACCATGAGATCGTATCACCAGACCATGGGACCTCATTATGGGACATGGGACTCCACTATGGGACGTGAGACCCCACCATGGGACCCCATTATGGGACCCCATCACGAGACCATGGGACCCCACCCCAGGACCATGAGACCCCACCACAGGACCATGGGACCCCACCATAGGACCCCACCACGGGACTGTGGGACCCCATCACTGGACCATGACACTCCACCATGGGACATGGCACCCCATTATGGGTCCCCATCACAGGACCATGGGACCCTATCACCAGACCATGGGGCCCCATCATGGGACATGGGACTCCATTATGGGACATGAGACCCCACCATGGAACCATGGGACCCCATTATGGGACCCTATCATCAGACCATGGGACCCCATCATGGGACCCCCATCAGGGGACCATGGAACCCCACTATGGGACCATGGGACCCTATCACCAGACCATGGGACCCCATCATGGGACCCCACCACAGGACCATAGGATCCCACCATAGGACCCCACTATGGGACCGTGGGACCCCATCACGGGACCATGGGACCCCACCATGGGACATAGGACCCCATTGCGGGTCCCCATCACGGGACCATGGGACCTCACCACAGGACCATAGGACCCCACCATAGGACCCCACCATGGGACTGTGGGACCCCATCACTGGACCATGGGACCCCGCCATGGGGCATAGGACCCCATTATGGGTCCCCACCACAGGACCATGGGACCCCATTATGGGACCCTATCACAGGACCATGGGACCCCACCACCACATGCTTGTCCTTCTCCAGGTCTTCCTGGTGGAGCAATGGATGGGAAAGGGGGGCATGAAGGAGAAGCCCCATGGGCAGGAGAAGGCCGCCATCATCCTGCCTCAACCCTGAAGTCCACGTGGACCTTCTCAGGCTGGTGACCCCCCATAGATCTCTCCTCATGGCCTTCTCCTGTGTCTTCATGCCCTGTGAGTTGCGTTGGTGTGGGGTTGTAGCCTGGGGTCACCACCACCAGGCTGTGGTACCACCAGAGCTGCCGAGCAGGTGAGATGTGGGCATCAAAGCCTTCACTTTTTGGTGAACGTGTTGACCTCACCGTGGCTTTGTGGTCTTTGTTCCTACAGCCGAGAGGATGGAGACTCCTCTGGAGGCTGCAGAGCTGAGTTGGGACCTCTCCGAGGTGGTCATCTCCCAAGAGCCAAACCCAACGGCACAGGACGAGACCCAACCGGGAGAAGAACCAAGCGACGCCCCCCGGGGCCGCCTGTCACCGAGGAGGAGCGGGCGGCTGCAAGGCCACGCGGCAAAGGGGACTGACGGCGGCAGCAAGAGGAGGGAGAACCTGGCTGGGAAGGGAGGAGCCGCCATGCACAAGGGCTTCTACAGCTGCCCCGAGTGCGGGAAGGTCTTCAGCCGCAAGTCCTTCCTGGTCCCCCACCAGCGCATCCACAGCGGGGAGAAGCCCTTCACCTGCCACGAGTGCGGGAAGGGTTTCCGCGTGGGCTCGGCCCTCAACAAGCACCAGCGCGTCCACACAGGGGAGAAACCCTACGAGTGCGGGGAGTGCGGGAAGCGCTTCCGCCTCACCTCCACCCTCAGCACCCACCGCAAGACCCACGCCAGGGGCAAAGCCCACGTCTGCTTGATCTGCGGGAAGTCCTTCAGGCTGAGCGCCTACCTCCTGACCCACCAAGCCACCCATAGCACGGACAACCCTTTCCGGTGCCTGGCGTGCGGGAAGAGCTTCAGTTTGAGACGTTACTTGGCCATCCACCAACGGACCCACACCGGGGAGAAGCCCTTCAAGTGCGGGGCGTGCGGGAAGCTCTTCAGCCGCAGGTCCATCCTCGTCGTCCACCAACGCGTCCACAGCGGGGAGAAGCCCTACAAATGTCCCGAATGCGGGAAGGGCTTCATGATGAGCTCGGATCTCCTCGCCCACCGCAGGATCCACAGCGGGGAGAAGCCTTACAAGTGCTCAGAATGTGAGAAAAGCTTCCGCTTGAAATTGCACCTGAGGAGGCACCAGCGGATCCACAGCGGGGAGAGGCCCTACGTGTGCGCGGATTGCGGGCAGAGCTACACCGACAGCTCGGGGCTCATCAAACACAAGAAGATGCACGTGGAGAAGGAGCAGAGGGCGTCCCAAGGTGGCCGCCAAGGAGAAGGCCGCTATCAATGTCCCTACTGCAGCAAGAGCTTCCACACCAAGGCAACCCTGGTCCTTCACCGCACGACCCACGGCGGGGAGCGGCCCTACGGGTGCTCCAAGTGCGGGAAGACCTTCGCCAACAGCGGCACCCTATGGAAACACCAACGCGTTCACACCGGGGAGAGGCCCTTCGGGTGTCCCCACTGCCACAAGCGCTTCAACGACAGCTCCACCCTGCGGAAGCACCGCCGGAGCCACCCCGAGGAGAAACCCTACACGTGTCCCGCCTGCGGGGAGTGTTTCGGGGCCATCGCGGCCCTCCTGAAGCACCAGCGGTTCCACGCCGAGGGGAGGCCTCACCAATGCTCCGACTGCGGGAAGAGTTTCCACTCCAATTTCCTCCTCCTCACCCACCGGCGGATCCACACCGGGGAGAAACCCTACGCGTGCCCCATTTGCCAAAAATCCTTCCGCCAGGCCTCGCACCGGGCCCAGCACCAGGAGATCCACGCCAGGACCAGGTCTGGAGCTACTTCATGTGGCGTTTCCATGGGCAGGAGGACCCGAAGTGGAGCGGGAGCGGAGGTGGGAAGTGAGGAGCAATCGATGAGTTCAGGTGGTGCCTCCACAGCTCAACCGTAGGAGAACGGAGGTGCTCCGAGTCCAAATTCATCACCCAAAAATGTCCTCCATGTCCTGCTGGTTGTGGAGGTCTTGGCACACCTGGATGTCAACCAGAATTGGGGACTTCCTGGTGACATGGGGTTCCTACGCCACTCGTTGTGTTGGGTGGCCGTTGTGCTGCTCACCCCGTTGACGTTGAGCGACCATCTCTCCCAGTTGAGCGACCATCTCTCCCAGTTGACTCACATCTCTTCCAGTTGAGGGACCATCTCACCCCATTGAGTGACCATCTCTCCCAGTTGGGTGACCATCTCTCCCAGTTCAATGACCATCTCTCCCAGTTAAGTGACCATCACGCCCAGTTGAGTGACCACCTCTCCCAGTTCAATGACCACCTCTCCCAGTTCAATGACCATCTCTCCCAGTTGAGTGACCATCTCACCCCATTGAGTGACCATCTCTCCCAGTTGGGTGACCATCTCTCCCAGTTCAATGACCATCTCTCCCAGTTATGTGACCATCACGCCCAGTTGAGTGACCACCTCTCCCAGTTCAATGACCACCTCTCCCAGTTCAATGACCACCTCTCCCAGTTGAGTGACCATCTCTCCCCATTGAGTGACCACCTCTCCCAGTTGAGCGACCACCTCTCCCAGTTGAGTGACCATCTCACCCCATTGAGTGACCATCTCTCCCAGTTCAATGACCTCCTCTCCCAGTTAAGTGACCATCTCTCCCAGTTGACTCGCCACCTCTCCCAGTTGAGTGACCACCTCTCCCAGTTCAGTGACCACCTCTCCCAGTTGAGTCACCATCTCTCCCAGTTGAAATCCCTCCCGAACCCCAAATTTGTGCCTTGATTCCCCTAGGGGGTGGTCATCGCCCATCCCACCCCCATGAACCCACCACCACGATGGTCACCTACACCAGGAACCACTGTTTCCAGTCACAATTCTGGGTCACCTACACCAGGAACCGCTGTTTCCAGTCACAATTCTGGGTTATTTTCTATATTTTGACCCATTTTTTGACCACCTGACAAAAATTTGTGTTCTTCTGACCCAATCTGGCTCCGTTTTGAACCGAATCGCCCCAATTTGTGTCTTATTAAGTCCCATCAACCACCTCCACCTTCTACCACCCTCCCCTTCCCGCTACAAATTAACACCTAATTAATCACTTTTCGACAATTTAAACCTTAATACCACTCAAACTTTAATAGTGGCTACTCCAATTTTGGAAAAATTGGTCAAATTGTGGAATATTTCCAAAAATATGGTCAAATTTTGGGGGTGGGAATCCATTTTGACACAGGTTTTAGGTGTTTTTTGGTCCGGGTGATGCTTGCGCTGCTCAACACTCATCAAATCGAGGAAATTAAAATGTTCCAAACACCCTTAATTATTATAATATATATTTTAAAATGTATGTATTATAATTAATTTTAACCCAATCATTGATTTTTTTGGCCCAATTTTAGGGAATTCTTTGGTTTCCTGTTGTTTCCATTGAGAAAATTGTAGTATTTGCATAAATACGCTGAAATAAATGGGGGGGGTTTATCCTAAAACTGGAAATTTTTGATTGCTGTGGGGCCTTAATGAGGAATTTTTGGGGGTGCAGAGATGAGAGGGGGGAAATTTGAGGATGACGGGGGAAATTTGGGGAGGGGACACAGTAT